GTGTGCTGAATGAATGAATTCTTCGGTACTGGCACATTTTTTGGGGCCGCCTTTCGAGGCTGCCCCAGCCCACAATATTTGGCCACTCTTGCGCCTGCAACGCCTGTGCATACCCCCCCCTGCCCTGCCAACGATTAAAATCCTTACCTTGCTGGAGTCTCTTTGGTAGCCTGCTCACTTTCGGGTGCCCTACTAGCAGAGCTGCCCACCATAACGAACTGTCCACATTGCCAACATTGCCTGCAGGCACACATGGTGCGAGGCACCCTCTAAGCACCAAGCCCATGCATGCACCAGCGCCAGGTGTATCTTACAATGGCTCAGCAAATGACCGAGTACTCGATGTCAAAAAAAGGTTGGCCGTCTTGCAATGTTTTATGTGTGCATGGACATGCTAGCATGTGCCCCTCTGACCTGCTTGCATTGTTATGTGCCCTCTATTATTCAATGTGTGTTGCTGGCTGGCTATGCTAGCATGTGCCCCTCTGACCTGCCTGCTCTGTTTTCTTGTGCCCTACCCCACACATTCATTTGGATCCCTCCTATTTCTGCAGCTTGTGAGTGATTGGCTTGCTGCCCACCATGTGGTGTATGTTATGTGTCCTCGTTGCCCAGATGTGTGATGCTGGCAGGCTATGCTGGCATGTGCCCCTCTGACCAGCATGCTTTGTTTTCTTGTGCCCTACCCCACACATGCATCTGGATCCCTCCTGATTCTGCAGCTTGTGAGTGATCGGCTTGCTGCCTGCCATGTGGTGCTTGTTGTGTGCCCTCGATGCCCAGATGTGTGATGCTGGCAGGCTATGCTGGCATGTGCCCCTGTGACCAGCCTGCTCTGTTTTCTTGTGCCCTGCCCCACACTTTCATTTGGATCCCTCCTATTTCTGCAGCGGGTGAGTGATCGGCTTGCTGCCCGCCATGTGGTGCTTGTTGTGTGCCCTCGATGCCCAGATGTGTGATGCTGGCAGGCTATGCTGGCATGTGCCCCTCTGACCAGCCTGCTCTGTTTTCTTGTGCCCTACCCCACACATTCATCTGGATCCCTCCTATTTCTGCAGCTGGTGAGTGATCGGCTTGCTGCCCGCCATGTGGTGCTTGTTGTGTGCCCTCGATGCGCGGTTGTGTGTCCCTGCCCGGCCATGTGGTGCTTGTTGTGTGCCCTCGATGCGCGGATGTGTGTTGCTGGCAGGCTATGTTGGCATGTGCCCCTCTGACTTGCATGCTTTGTTTTCTTGTGCCCTACTCCACTCATGCATCTGGATCCCTCCTGATTCTGCAGCTGGTGAGTGATCGGCTTGCCGCCCGCCATGTGGTGCTTGTTGTGTGCCCTCGATGCCCAGATGTGTGATGCTGGCAGGCTATGCTGGCATGTGCCCCTCTGACCAGCATGCTTTGTTTTCTTGTGCCCTACTCCACTCATG